TGACAACATTAGTGAGGTTGGTCCCAGGATCGGGCAATGTTTCGTTCTGTTGTGCACAGGGTTGCTATGAGTCAGTACCAACTCGATGGCACCTAACAACAACAACAACAATAACAACAGCAATGCACATTCAACAAAAATTGAAATATTACTTCAGTCAACATGACAGTAAACTCTCCAATCTCTAATTTTACTCCTAATTAAATCAGTGAAAGGAATCCTGTTTTTTCTTTGATTATATAGATAAATCTATTTTGTTGTCTATTTTTAAAGTTACTTTTAAACCTATGACTGCTTTTTGTGTAAGCAAAGATGTGTCAGACTACAAAAGGAGCTAGCTGATTTTAATTCTCCCTATTCTTAATGGCCAGTACTTTTGAGTGCCCTATTCTTTATGGACCTATATTAGAAGACTTAGACCCATAATTCAGACAAGTGTCACTGTCAGAAATGATGACGCAAAATACGAAAGAGAAAAAACAGGAGATCACAGTTAGAACAAAAACTGGAACTAAGCAATGGAAAAACTTAGAGGTATCTAACCCAAATTAATGTCAAACCTGTAATCATCTCTACAGCCTCTCTGACAAATGGTTTTAAAACGTACGGTTGAACATTTCTTGTGACAAATACTTTATACTTATGAGGCAGTCCCTTTCATTCCTGCATGGCTGTAATAATTGGGAAGTGGATTAAAATTTGGATCCATGTTCTATTTAAAGGGAAAATTTTAAATAAATTATTTTTTCATCTCTTTAATATTTATTGAACATATACACCATTGTCTTAGAGGCTAGGTAGATCTTTATAAAAGAAAAAAAAACTATAAAATTTATTTTAAAAATGGATATTTGGTGCTAGTATCATTTAATATGAATATAATTGCTGGGCAAAATTTTTAATAGGTTACAGGATTGGGTGACAAAATTTTAAGACTGGGTCTCACCAAGGAGGACAAGGCCTGGAAGCTCCATATTCTGCCTTCTACTCTAGGCTTTTGGCTAGAATTCTAAAGGGCTATACCACATGAAGCAACCTTCACAGGACTAAACCCCATTTAGAATCACCTCAAATCCTCATTTATTTTATTGTTGTTAAGTATCATCGAGTCAGTTCCGACCTACAGCAACCCTGCATAGGGTTTACGAGGAGTAACTGGTGAGCTTGAACCACCAACCTTGCAGTTCAAACTGAATTTGCAATCCAGTGCATTAGCCCATAGTGCTATACCAGGACTCCCAAATCCTCATTTGTCAGGTGCCATCGAGTCGGAACCGACTCATAGCGACCCCATGCACAGCAGAACGAAACAATGCTCGATCCTGGGCCAACCTCACCAACGCTGCCA